TCTAAAACTGCGTCTTCTCCCCCGACTTCAGATGACTTGGTCACTCCAGACTGATCACCTTTCTGCGACAGCTCCGCAATTTTTCTCTCGAGGAAGGCCACAACCGACTTTCGAAGCTGCTCAGGAGTCATTTTCTCAAGTTCCTCCTGCAAGCTAACCTCGGATAGAGTCTTCACATAGATGTTAGCCAGCTCCGACTTCTTCTCCTTCTCTCCCTCCAGCACCATATTAACAAAAGCGCGACGAAGACGAGCCTCCCTTTCTTGGCTCGACTCAGAAATCTCAAGACCGGCTTCGGCCCTGATAGAAGCAAGAAGGCCCTCGCAGAAACTTTTCTCGTCCTCGTCTGCCTCAACATGAGTCGTCGCGATGGAGGGATTGAAGTTGTGGCTTCGGATTTTATGCAGAAGGAACTGGCGAACTTCCTCGATACCATACAAGCCGTCGTCAAAGCGCTCAACCATCCAGCGCAAATTCAGACAAGTATTCATCTCGAATTCCCGATCTTCATCTTCAGAATCGGAATCGACCTTAGCCTTGAGTCGGTTGGCCTCTGCCTCAAGAATTCTCCCTGCTCGGAGACCGTCATTATACTTTTCCTCGGCAAGTTTGATCTTTTCTTCCTGGAGTTTGCCGAGTTTAGCCAGATGTGCGTCCCGGTCCCTCTTCAACAGTTCTTCAACCTCGGACCGACTCTTCCGAGTAACCTCATGGGCTTCCTGCTCCTTTCGAAGAAGGCTCTCGCACCGAGATAGCTGCTCCTCTAAAACTTTGACGCGCTGCTCAGAAGTAATAACCTGACTCGTCAGCTTCAGAACGTCATTGTCGAGAGAAGCCTTATCAACTCTCAGAGCCTCGATCTCCCCCTGAGCAATTGTCAACTGCTCGGTTTGCTCATCAATTTTCATTTGCAGCTCCTTCTCCTTAGCCGCTGCTTCTTCTCTTAGAGATGCAAGTGCTCCATCTCTAAGTTCCAACGTATGCTTCTTCTCATCGACCTGGGCCGCATTAAGCCGAAATTCATCCTCGGCCATCACTAAACTAACGAGCGCGCGACCCAAGCAAGCTTTGGCATATTTGAACTTGTATGCGCTCGCCAATGAAGATACACCGATCTCGGATCTCGGATCCCATACCATCATCGGGACCCGAGCAGCATCTATGACATGGGCAGGCAGCTCCACGGTACTCGATATCTCAGGAATCTCAACCGATTCAAAAGTCGAGAACCATTTCTCGACCGATTCCCGAGGCTGCCTGAAGTTCAGAAACCTCTCCTCGTCCATTGGCAAGAAGGACCGATCAATAACTGGCTCCTTCTTCTTCTCGCGATCACCACCATCATGCTTCTTTTTTCTCCGCTCCTCGGCAACTGGAATGTTTTCAGCTTGTCTCTTTCTCGACCGAGTAACGGGCACTTCACGCTCAGCGGTAACTTCATGGCCCTCCTCAGGCTCATCAGAAGCCAAATCAATTACAGGCGGATTTTCAACTGGAGCAGCCTCAACAACCGGCTCGACTTCAGGTGCAGCAGCAGTAGCAGCGGCTATAGCGGCCATCGGACCTGCTGCCGCAATAGCCAGAGGATTAGGCTGCGGGACAACAACTGCAGCCGCCGACGTCGCACCGTCCCCGATGTCGGTTTTTGGTGGATTCATAATCGGATTCTCTAGGTAAGCCTTCACTAATTTCTTGCGACCCATTCCTGTCAGACGCAGCTCTTTGCTCTTTCCGACTTTAGTTCGCAGTTCCAAATTCGGACTCCTCTGTCGGAAGGCTCTAGCGTCGCGAACAGTCTTGAAACCGAGCACTCCAAGAAGCGGATAATATACTACAATTATAAAACCGAGTTATCACAATATCCAAAAACAACCGACTTCGACTACGTTTGAAAAATTTGATTCGAATTTACCTGGCTGAAAGGAACCGTCTAGGATTTCTGGACACAACCCAGCAGCTTTCAACCTCGAATCCTTTAAAATCAACTTGAAACCGCGTTGTGTCTTTTTGAGCTTGAACAATTCAGAAATTCTTTCTTTCAAAGTCGAGCTGAGTTCAACTCCTTTGCTTTTGGCTGCAAATAGTAAAGTTGGTGACCTGTTAGTACACAAATAAAAAGCAAGTCAGAACAAACTCGGTTTGTTAAAAGGAAGGACAATACTTACAAACTGCAGAATTAATGTTAATCGGAATTGACATTCCATCAATCAAAGGCTTATTAAAATTTGGAGTCTGCCACTCCCCGCCGACCCACAGCCATTCTTCTTGGAACCCATGCAGTGAATCCGGGATCTCTGTGATCAGATCACCGATCTTAAAGCCACTTTGGGGCCTTCCTGCGCAAGCATAGCAAATCAGGGGATCTGCTACTTGCCTATCAGTGCATCTCCTAAACGAGAAAAGGCTCCTTAGTTCTTCAACGGTTGGCATATCCCAGCCCTTTTCCTTTAACAGAACCAGAAGACCGATGATTCTCTTCCACGAATTTGGAGCTACCTGACACAGACTAATTCCCCAATTTCTTAGGTAGTCTGTAATTACAGCCGGGAGGGGAAACCGAAGACCAGACCTCAGTGAGTCGGCAAAAACACCGACACAACCTGGAGGCGGACATGTGATCCTTTCGCCTGGATATGGAGCAAACAACTTAACTGACGAAGGGATATACACTTCCCCTCGAAGCATAACGATATCAGCATCAGTAAGAATACTCGGTTCGCCCCTATACTCGTCAATCGGCTCCGGCCACCGACGAGCAGGACGTCTCCAGTAATCCGGAAGCGACATAGCATCCTCTTCGACTCGCTTGTCTTCATCAATGATATCCCTATGGAGATTAAGACTCTTTACCAAAAGGGGATCCCACCGATAATATTCCAGAGGCAATTCCAAATCCTCATCGGTAAGGATCGGAATGTCCGAAATCGTTCGGCTACTGCTATTTTCGGTTTGTGCAGACATCACTCTTCGAAATCGACGAAAAATACAGGAATAATTTGGAACAGAATAAGAAAACAAGAAAGATTAGGGCAAGCTCTTACCGAAACTTTCGAAGGACTCTGGACTGACGAAAAGATCACAGGAAAAAGCAAGTGCACAAGAAAAGTACGTAAAGAAAAGGTTGCTGAAAGAACGCAAGAAAAATCGCAGAGATTAAGGGTACAGAAATTTTTTGCGTCCCGAGACCGACTTCAATTTATAGGTTTCGATTTATGACCGTTAGAAGCATCCGGAAACGGCGCGTGTAACGGACGTATCTTCAAGGGACATAACGTTACAGTAATTATTATACCACGTGGCCACATCCTGAAACGCCATGTCGTTACAAAATTGTATCCGTTGGGCCCATTTAATGCGGACGCGTCTTTTAAAGAGCCGCCATGTCAGATCAAATACAGCGCAGTATCGAATGAAGCAAAGTATTCTCATGTCGGTAACAATACAAAGCAAGTCGGAATGCAGTGAAACAACAGACGACATCAGCAATCATTTAAAAAGCATCAAATGCTTACTAATGTCGGGGGCCTCACTGTTGATATCAAATCCAGTAATCAGAATTAAGGTACTAAAAATCGGAATATACTATAGCAAGTTACCGACTTCCATAGATCTCTTCCGACAGACCGACAAGGAGGATCAAAACCGACATCCGAAACCGACGTAAATAAACCGACATCAAGTCAACCGACTACCACAAAGTTTGAGCATTCCAAACAGAAAGTAATCATTAGAAGCATCTGATTGGACCAACAAAACAAAAAGGTAATTATTGATGTTTCCCGCCGCCTCAAAACAAAGCAGCTCAATATTAAATGCATCTTTATCCATTTCGAGGAAGAGGACAAAAGCCACCGTACTATAAATAGCAGAATTTATGATAGTACAAGGATCTTTTTCGATCACATTGTACACGAACTTAAGACAACCTCGGTTCTCCCCTTGAAACCGACTTCTGTACTCTTGTGAACATAATTAATAAAATCCAATTTAACCTTTATCTTCATTCTTGAAACATCAACTGTGTTCAATTTTAAGTTGCTAATTCAAAACAGCAACACGATAAATAATAAGAATCGTAAAGTCTAACTGAATGCGACGTTTACAACAAAATAGAGGGAGTAGGTAATTAGAAGCGCACGATTCTCTTCAAAAATTGTATAAGAAGTGCACGTTTTGAAGACAGTTATTGAAGATAGTCATAGTTCAACATATGATCTCTACCAGAATTGGCGAGCCGATCTCTACCAGAATCATAGCCTCTATGCTGTAGGCCAACGAGAAAAGTGTGTCTCCGATGGTTGATCTTGTAGTAGTTCGATATAACCATAAGATCCTAGAGAGTTCCTCAAGTCAAGACCCTTGTTTGATGATTTTATTGACTGCATCGACTTTACCGTTGGACTAGGGGTGATTAGGAGTGGAAAATGATTCTTTATATGTAAACCTCACAAAACGACATGAACTTTTCGTTATCAAATTGTCCAGCATTATATGTCATCAACGAGTGAGGAATTTCAAATCCACATATTATTGATCACCATACGAAGTCCACCATTCTTTACTCGGTGATTGTTGCTAGTAGTTCGATTTCGATCCATTTGTAAAGTAATTAACTGCGACTCGCATATTTGACCCCCTATTTGGATGTAGGTAGAGCTCTGATCGAATCAACTTCTCAATTGAAAAACGATCAGGGGTTGGCTCGTTAAAGCACGATATCAGTTCGTTAAGGCTCGAACTCGACTCGTTATTACTGATAAACAAACTGAGCTCAAACTCGATATCAAACTCGTTTATTTAACGAGACGAGCTCAGCTCGACTCGTTAAGAGCTCGAGGTCGAACTCAAACTCGAGCAGCCTAAGCTCGAACTCGGCTCGGCTCGTTTACAGGCTTACTTATTTAGTACTATCAACATTATCGGTTAAACTGAAAATATTTTCGTAATATGTAAATCTTTTACAATAAAATATTAAAATGGATGATGTGGCCTTTGCCTTTAAAAAAGTAAAATAAAATAAATAATGGTTGGGAAAAAGGTCAACACACAGACTGGCCACTATTCGGCCTGCTCCGGCCAAAAATCGCCGTGAAAGCTAGAAATAGACGCGCCTGGATTATGAGAATGTGATTACACGATCAATTTCTCCGGTGGCAAACAGAACTCTCCAGACAAAATGTCGGAAAATCGAGGTGGGTACCGATTTTGTGATAGAAAACTATAAAGGCCCAGAAAATAAAATTAAAAGTAGGGCTTTTGCTCGAAATGCTGTTGACAATATTTTAGTATGATGGTATTACAGGGATGGGTTGAGCCGCCGGCATTCTGGAACTTGGAACTCAACAAACCAATTAGCGAAAAGAGTCTCGATTGCAGCCAATGGAGAGAGATAGAGATAGAGATAGAGATAGAGATAGAGATAGGGAGGGTTACTGATAAAATATCTGTGTTTTATTGTTCAACAACACAATACAAAAAGGATACAAAAAAGTGAGTATATCGTCTATTAGGATGGAGCTTCAAGCCGGATATAATCATACATAATGGCCTGGAAAGGACTTTGGCTTCTGGGTTGTGTCAAGTATATAGTATTTTCCCCTTGGACAAGCATTCCACCTCCAATGTCTATATTGTACAGCCAGTACAGTCCATGAATCCCGTGCCTTGCAATCGAGTTATCTCTCCCGATCAGCCCACTCGAGAACAATGGTCGGTTTGTGCTCGGATTATTGACTCGAACCTGCAAATGATTAATTCATGTTATAGTTTTGCAAAATGCAGGTCACCCACAGTATATGCATATAAGTTAACAAACCTGAAGTTCAGCTAAAGATGCAGAAGCAAGCGCCACCCGCAGTTTATAAGTCCCGTTTTGATCGACAGTGTCGAGCGCAAATTTGATTTGCCAAGTTGTTCCTTGGTACGTGTTGTTGTCCTTTTTCCTTGATCGCATATTGGAAAGAGTTTTTAGTACTTGACACACATTGGATATTATGCATACACTTTTGAACAGTTAAGAATTCACATGGAGTTTTCTCAAGAGTATTGAATTGCAAGATTTTTCAACAAATTTGAACCTTTTCTTTTCAAATATCCAAAAAATTGGAAATAGATTAAACCTTGGGTTTTTTTTACTCCACCCATTGTTTGTTTGTTGTTTATTAACTCTTTTGATAAACCCCATGTGATAAGATAGGTATAAGCACACAAACACACACACATATTATATATATGCAAACCTGGTAACCTGGGCGAAAAACCAGTCCTTTGTGTAGTCACTCTGGCCAACAGTGTAAACCAAGTCTTGAGTGGGATATAACTCAGAGTATCTTTCCCACAGCCCGTACTGTCTGAACCTTCACTAAGTAAAACTTATCATAAGACAAAACAAGAATGTAAAAGAAAAAAACAAGAATTAATGTCACCAAATGAATACGACAATTGTGTTTTACCTGTCCGGGTGATTGACATAGAGTTTGTTAACATATTTAGGGTCAGGATCAGGAACATAATACTCTGCAGCTGTACGGTCAGGTATACCTATTTCCCAAACTGTGGGGCCATCTCTCAGAGGCTCGTACACTATCTCGCCCATTTCAATCTCACATCCTATATCACAAAGTAATTTTCTTTTAGATGACGGGTTAATTTGCTATTAGTTGAAATTTTTAGAGGGATGGATGTGCGAATAGAATGGACCTGGGGTTATGGTGATGATGTCATCGTATCTGTAGTCACCTATGAAGCCAGGGACGAATGCGTAAAGATTGTAGTCACCCGTGCGCACATAATTGATGGCAAAATAACCCATCTCATCTGCTCTTGTCCAGAATTGGTAATCCTGCTCATCATGTTTATTAGCTTTAATAAGGAAATTACTTTAAGAAACATGGTTTTCCTTTTTTTTTTTATTTTTTATTTTTTATTTTATTTTCTTGATCTCTTTCAGAACTTGCTGTCAACATATTTGCGTAGAGCATTTTGTTCCAGTTGTGGATGTAATTTCTTTATATTTTGTGAATTTGCTCATATTTTGGAAGAATTGAAAGAAAAAGAATAATATTAAATAAGAATGTAGAGTAACCTTGCATTCTCTTTGCCAGGATCCGGGATCTCCAGGAGGAGCAATTCCTACGTACGCGCCACTTGCGCTTATGTTATCAATACTAACATACCTAACGGAAGATAGAAAAGTAATTGCATCATTTATCATCTAAATTGGTAATATTTGAAAATGAAAAAAAAAAAGAAGAAGTAATGTTGACCTGTCGGAGACCAATAGCCTGCCCGTGACACGGCCCCTTTGATCTGCCGATTGGAAATCCTGAGATGCCGGGAAAGCGTAAGGCCAGCAATCAACTTCAACTTGCATCTGTAAAAGGTACGTTAAAACAAAGCTGTAATGAATGTTGAACTTCCTCATTCGAAACAAAAATTAATCAATCTCCCGAACCTGTCGTTTAGCGTCATCCCAAAGAGTCAGTGGATTATCTCCATCCATCACAGAATTAAGATAGATGAAAACCGGGCCGAAAACTTTCGTCCACGCCTCTCCCTGTCCGAATTTAGGGACCAACTCATCACCCGTGTAGTGTGCACTGATAAACACCTGTAGATTTTGAATAACGATCGGCCAATAAGTGGCATAAAAAAAATTATTATTATTATTTTTTTTTAAAGAGGCTTTGTAAGGGGAGAGAATTGTTTACGGAGAGCGTTGTGGGCCCCACATGGGACGTGAGGTTCTGCTTGAAGGGCCCACCCGTTCGGAACTCGTCGCTTGGTATGACCATCCAGAACCCGACTGGCGGGTCCATGGAGATCCACCCGTGGACCTTTTGATCTTTGTTGTCGCACGAGTACTGGTATTTGTCATCGACCTATTTATAAATATATATGTGTAAAGACTATCTTGTGTTAGCTCATTAGGAAAAGCAAATAAATTTATGTTCATTGTATGACTGGTAGTGCTGTAATCGAACCGAACGAGCCAAGCTTGGGTGTTTCGAGCTCGTGTTCGTTTTCGTTGGTTCGTTCATTTTTCGAGCAAAAGTTCGAGCTTGTTTATTTAATTGTGTTCGAATAATTTAGGACATAAACTTTTTAAATATGTTGATCAACTTAAAATTTGTTTGTTCGGATTCGTTCGAACTCGAAAAAAATAAAATAAAAATACTTTCATATTTTAGATTTTTTTATTAAAAAATGAAATAAAATTATTTTAAATTAATGTTTGCGAACATTATCGACGTTCGCGAGCAAGCTTGTGTTTTTTCGATTATTAAACGAGCCTAATTTTTTGTTCGAACTTGGCCCGATTAACAAACGAACGAGCTTTTGTCGAACATGAACGAGCTCAAATGAGCTTTTGTTCACGAATTTTCGGTTCGTTAACAGCCCTAACGAATTCATACTTGTATGTTCAAAAGTCATACTTATTTTGAAACAACTATTTATACTATATAGTTTACATAATTTTTAATATATGTTTTTTTATGAAGTAATGAACATTTAGTTAAGAAGTAGTTTGTGTGAAAGTTGTGGTATGAAGTGATCAAATGGGTACCTCTCCTTTGAGCTCGGGCTCGACTGGGTTGACAAGGAGCACGGCCTCTGGAAATGCAAGAGGTTGGCCTCTTCCGATTAATCGGTCATCAGGTAATGGCATGAACCTCTGTCTGTTGTCCGCCATAGCCATGTAGTGAAACCTGCACCAATTTCCATGCAGTGTAAAATGTAAAAATGGTATGCATTATTATAAGGAAAATGCTACAAGTACATAATAAATGTACATAGAGATGTNATTACCTTTTGTGTATATTTATAGGAGCAACCTTGCCCTGAATAGATGGATCCCATGGCCGCGAAAATGAGATCTCTACTTGTTCCTCACTTTCATTTATAACTTCAAATTTTGTTGCTTTGATCCTGTATACAGGTGCAGTAGAATAAATAGCTATGCTACATCACATTCACATATTCTCATTTTTTCTTTTTAATTGAAATTAAATTAAAAAAAAAGGAACAAAAATCATTTGAGCCTGATATATTTTAACATACACTTCAAATCCTCCTGCTTTGCCACTTCCATCCAGTGAATTCCACACAATGTCCCAGTACCTGAACAGTCATCTCAATATGAATGTGAACAATAAAAATATTTATTCGTCATTCTACTTGTATTTTAAAAATCACTCTACAATGCAATTGGAAATGCATTTATGCCCATTCCATCCTATTCTAAATTTTTTATTTTTTAGTAAAAAATAATAATTAATTGATGATATATGATTGGTGAAATAGCGAAATATTATCATATAGTTATAAATTTGTGAGTAAATGAAATACAAATTTAAGAGAAATGTATAGGATGAAATTGAATGGGATGAAATGAAGTTGAATGATATTTCCAAGTTCCAACTGCTAAATTTATATAAATTCCAGATATTAAGGTTAAGGCCATAGTTTGCATGATAATACATGATGTGAAGGCAGTGCAACAAATTATTAATTACCCTCTGTTTGACTCGTCGTTGAGAATTTCGAGTAAGTTGTCGATGCCGTTATAGCTGATTCCGGTAACAATGCCATCTGGATTTGATAACGTCACCTGAACTATGCCGTTATCCATCACCACCTGATCAATAATAAAACCATTACCACACAGAAAATCTGTATACATATGAACTTACTGTTTGAAATACACATTGATAAGTGGAATAATTGTATCTTATTTATAATATATTATAGCATAATCTTATCTCCATGCATCTCAAGTCAATGCAACGCTTTTTGTGCAATTTTCAGTGTTGATCTACGTTAATTTTTCAATGGAAGTTCAAATATGATACTTTGATTTGTATAGGTTTAATTGAATGAGAATGTGTTTACATGAGTATCTTGAATGTTCAAGTGAACCCCTATAGGCGCCATCACTTTATATCCACTGTCAACTTCTCCTGCACACAAAAAAGGTTAAAATTTTCAAAGCAAACCAGAAAAAGAGGTCAATCTAATTAACTTTTGAAAGCAGTTAGTTAAAGGTTCTTTTGTATTATGGAAATTAATAATAAATAATTGGGTAAAAACTTGATCATATACATACTTATCTTACCTGTATCCTATTGATCTCCACAAGAAAAGTGGGTAATAGAAAAAAATTAAAAGACGAGCTTTAGAGTAAATTGTATATGTACATATGATATTAATATTTATAGGTGCACATATATATATATATATCAATATATTTTCCTTACTTCACGAGAAAGTAACTATTACTGTTGGTTTTAAAGAATTATAACTTAAGCTTTGGGATAAGGTTCCTTTTTACCTGTTCTCCACTTTTTGGTGGATTGGAAATTTGGAATTAGCTTTCAAGAATCGCAAACTTTCTCAAGATTAAGACGCTTGTACCTTGTATATTCAAATTGAGGCTCTTTCGAAATTTATAGCTATATATATAGCCTTTGTGAAAATTGCTACGTACGTTTAGCAAACACTGATGTGTAAATTTGTCTCGAACCGAATTAAATCGGAATATCACGAACAGTAGTCAGCTTCAAGCTCCAGTGACCTGCAAAACGTCGGGAGGCGGTCCCAGTGGAAATCCTTTGACACTCAAATCAATACTTTGCTCGCGAGTCAACGAGAAAGTTATGTGCTTAGATACGTAAATATGCGTTCTGTATTGAAATAAAACTTGATTACCCTTATGTACTAGGGTGCCTTGACGTTTAAGAGAGTTTTAGTAAGGAAAGGGATCAATCTGTATCCACTTTTCTAGTTTACCACGTCTCTAAAATCTGATGGGACTCCTTAGCAATATAAACTTTTCGTCCTTAAAAAATTCTATCCCATCTTACCATACGACTCTTAGGTCGTCTGAATAACCTCACCGCCTACTTGCCATAAGCGCAACTAGGTCGTATAACCACGACCTTCACCTTCGCGATCTCCAGTTCATGAGGCCTCCTCATGTTTTCGAGCTCTAGAGGTTCTCCGACCTCTATGCTATCTGATTGAACCAACTTGTACCCACTACAAGAAATCATTATTAGTGGCGATAATTTTAGTGACGACATTATTGCCATAACTATAACCACATGTATAGTGACAATATTTTCTCATGTCATAAAATTGTTGAACTACTAGTAATTAGTGACATCTTTATTTTCCGACACTATTTTTTTTATCGCATATCGTCGGCATAAAAAAAGTTTCGTCGCTAATAAAATTTTTAATAACGATAACTTATGAAGTCATCATCAATAATACAACATAGATATTAGTGTTAGCTTATTGTTGTCACAAAGATAATTATAAATTAGCGACAAAAAAATATCATCACTACTAATTATAAAAAATAATAACAAGAATTTTATTAGCATTATATTAAAAATTTATTGCTAAAAAGTTGGTGTCCAACATAAAATAAGTTGGGTTTTAAACTTACATAATAAGAAAAGCAAAAAAAGTAATCTGACATTTTTTTATTCTTTATTTATCTAACTTTTTGATAATATATCAATTACAATTATGATAGAATTTGATATATGCCCCATATACTCAGATGCCCACAAATTCTCGGCCCTGGTTGATTATTATTATTATTATTATTATTATTATTATTATTATTATTATTATTATTATTATTATTATTATTTATTTTTATTTTTTTTTATTTTTTTTGTGTGCGTGTGTAGAGAACAACTATCTCACTATTTGTGAATTAGTAAAATAGTTGGCCAAAATACACCTCATCAGGGCAAGCTAAAGGAGACAATCATTTACATGAGCAACTTTTGGTCATATCGGCCCATTTCCGAATATCACGGTAAAAGAAAAAATTACATTGGTTAAACTCACATCCAAGTAATCACCTATATGAAAACTAAGATCACCCAAGGCTTTGTTTCCATTATAAGGTTGTCTCGTGTTTATTAGGATAGACAAAGCAAAAGACATAACACTTTTATCCACCCACTTCTACTTCTACATACGGTGACAAAGGAGGAATAACACTTTGTGAGTGGTTGAAGCATAGTTAAATTTTTATTTGGTAAGTCCTATACAATTTGTTTGATAGTCTTGGCAGTAGTTATAGCATATGCTAGAGTATATACCAACTGAAATTGCCTACAAAGCGTTTGATGAAATGTGTTTAAGAAGGTCTCAATTATGAGTCTCAATATTACTATTGTAAGTTAAGAAGAATGACTTTATTTCATCTGCACGAATCCAAATAGACAAAAGCTGGATGTTTCTTGCGGGTAAAAGAATCTCGAAATATCAAGACGGAGTTAAGAAATTTTTAGATTTTTCATATTATTCAAAACAAGACCTGGATAAGATCAGATGATTTGGTAAAAATTGTAATAATGTGTGCCTGCGAAGTCGAGATGATGTCGAAGCTGATTATTAAAGTATGGGATACTTCAGAGTTATATCACATGGATGCTTCACGGTGACGAAATTGATGATTCTAGTAATGAGGAATTGGATTCTGATGAACTAGAAAGCAATGAAGAAGGTGAGATAAATGAAATGACTGTAAATGAGAACGATCATGATGATATTCAAACTTTACTGGAGGATTATTATACAACGACGAGAACATATGCTTGGAGAGGGGAAGATTCGCCAATGAGAGACGAAAATTCAGTGCCACAATGGGAATTAGATAAGTTTATGCGGCTACTGAGAGATGTCGATAAAGAATTATATCCAGGTTGTGAGAGTTTCTCCAAATTGTCATTTGTAGTAACTCTTATGCACTTGAAAGCTCTCAACAGCTTGAGCAAAAAATCATTTTCTATGTTGCTAGAAGTGTTAAAGAAGACACTCTCCAATGGCGAGTCACTCACTTTCTCATATTATGAGGCCAAAAAAAAAAAAAAAAAAAAAAANAAAAAAAAAAAAAAAAAAAAAAATCATTCAAGATCTTGGCTTGAATTACCAGAAAATTGATGCATGTGTAAATGATTGTGTGCTGTACAGAAAGGAGTACGAATCTAGAGAAAATTTCCCGAAGTGTGCAGCTCCGCATTATAAATCCAATGTGGATAGTAATGGTAACAATGGAGAGAAAAAGCGTAAGAAGATTTCTCAAAAAAATTTACGCTATTTCCCATTAAAGCCAAGATTGCAAAAATTATTTATATCCAAGAAAACGGCATAAGACATGAGGTGGAACAAGGAAAAAAGAATTGATGATGAAGTTTTGAGGCAACCGGCTGATGCTCAAGAATGGAAAGAATTTGAGAAAAAATACGAATCATTTTCAGATGATCCTCGTAATGTTAGACTTGGGTTGGCTACTGATGGTTCTTCACATATGAGCTCATCATATAGCACGTGGCCGGTGATTCTTTTGCCATATAACCTGCCACCATGGAAGTGTTTGAAGGCTCCCTTTTTCATTTCGTCAATGCTTATTCCTGGTCCATCATCTCTTGAAAATGATATCGATGTTTTTCTTGAGCTTCTAGTGGATGAAATGAAATAATTACGGGATAGTGGTATTGATACTTATGATGCCTACACTGGAAAAAATCTTCAATCTTCATGCAACAATGGTGTGGACCATAAATGACACTCTTGCATATGCAATGGTATCAGGATGGAGCACGAAAGGATATTTGGCATGTCCAATATGCAATAAGGAATCATGTAGTTCTTGGTTGAAAAATGGAAAAAAGGTAAGTTACACGAACCATCGTCGATTTTTGCCACCTGATCATAAATGGCGAAATTTTAAAAGTGCTTCAATGGTAAGAGTGAATTGAGTAATTAGCCAGTTCCTTTGACGGGAGATGATGTGGTTGAGCAATTAAAACTTGTCTAGCCAATAACTTTCGGAAAGACTCAACCAAAGAAGAGAAAACGTAGCGAGGAACTAAATTGGAAAAAATCTAGCATTTTCTTTCGACTACCATATTGGAGAACTCTTGCACTCTGACATAACTTAGATGTTATGCACATAGAAAAAAAAAATATTTGTAATAATGTTCTTGACACGTTACTAAACATTGATGGTAGGACGAAAGATAATATTAAAGCTAGATTAGATTTGCAAGAATTGGGCATAAGGCAGGAACTACATCCAAAGTTGGTGGGAAATTCTTATTTGATGCCACCTGCATGCTATACATTGTCTAAAGCCAAAAAGAGAAAGATATGTACATCTTTTGCTTCTGTGAAGTACCCAGATTCGCATGCTGCAAGTTTGTCAAAGCGTGTAAACATGACAGAGTGTCGGATTACAGGTATGAAAACTCATGATTGCCACATTATCTTGCAAGAATTGTTACCTCTTTCGGTTCGTGGGTTGTTAAATAATGATGTATGTGAAGCACTGAGTGATCTTAACAGTATATTAAAAAAATGCTCAAAATCATTAAAGATATCTGACTTGGAATATCTTGAAGATGAAATTGCTCTGACAATATGCAAGTTAGAAAGGATATTTCTTTGATGTTATGGTTCATTTACCTATCCATTTACCACGAGAGGCAAAACTTGGAGGGCCAGTTCATTATCGTTGGATGTATCCTATAGAAAGGTATGACAAGTTGCTTTTGAACTTTAAGATAATATCGTAAAAAAAATATTTATTTATCATCTTCTTACTCATTCTCTTTTATAGGTATATGTATATACTGAAGCAATATGTAGGCAATAAAACTTTTGCAGAAGGATCGATGGCTGAGGGCTATATTCTTGAAGAATGTCTAACTTTTTGTTCAATGTATTTGAATGATATCGAGACAAAATTTAGCAGATTTGAACGTAATTATGAAAATTGTAAAAAATATTCTAAGGAAACATTGTCTGTGTTCTCTGAAAGCTCGCGGCTTATTGGGTGAGGTGAATACAATTTTCTCGATGAAAGTGCCAGGAAACAGGTGCATGCATATATTTTGAAGAATTGTGATGAAGTATTATCCATTTATCAGGTAGATATATTCGTTCAGGTCATTCCTTCATTTGATAGTTATATATATATACGTATATTAAATTCGTGTATCATATGTAAAATGAAGGGATTGAAGGAGATTTTTTCTTTTTGTTTCTTACTTAGATACAAAGTATATTCTATGTAATAACATTCTATATACCTCGAGTTTGTATTTATTTTTATAAGAAGTATCATAAAAAGTAAAATTAGCACCTTATTTAGACTTTTTCTTTTAGTGAACACAAGTGCTAGAAAGTAATGGTTGTCGAAATGTGGAGAAGGAGCATAGGAAATCTTTCACGAAATGGTTTGAAAAACGAGTAAGTCTTTATATTTGTACATATTATAGCATAATGTTCAAGTTGTCATAATTTTAATAATTTGAATCTACAACACCACAGAGGCGGGCCATTCCTGTGAAGTCGAAGCATGTACGGTGAATAAAGTAAGTCATAATGGTAAGTCTCTTGATCGAAATGATGTTGCAATGGTGGATATAGATGCTACTGCTTCGGGGGGATCACGTTCCAAACAAATTCAAGATTCGAATCTGCCTAAGAACAACGCCCACAATGTATTCGATGAAATGACTCAAAGAGAAACTGATACTATAAAGAGGTCGATTGCGGAGATGAAGGAAGTGAACTTGGAGAATGAAAATACTAATCATCTCAAGCGTCCATTCAATGACTTATTTGCCGATAATCGAAAACCTTCCAATGGACTCAAGCTCACCTACACCAAACCATCGGAAGACAAAGTTAGGTTGGAAAATGAGGATATTGATGACGTTTAAAAAACTTGGGGATATTGCCTCGTGGGCTACTTTACTCATAGACACCCTGGGAAGGAGGCGCTATTGAAAATTTGCAACTCTTGGAAAATCAATTATGAATACATCCCCGACGTCAATGGATAGATAATGTTCAAATTCTTATCGAAGGATGATCGGGATAGCATGCTTGAAGGGGGCCCGTATACCATTTACGGGAGAAGCCTCATGCTAAAGGCCCTCCCTAAATGGTTCCGGTTTGGAGACAACGACGCCAAAATCGTACCCGTTTGGGTGAAGCTACCTTACCTACCCCTCGAATGTTGGAATGCAAATGTTATTGGAAAGCCCATCTCGACCGACAAACTCACCGAGTCCAAGGATAAGTGTAATTTTGCACGGGTCCTTGAAGAGATTGACGTTTCCGAGGACCTAAAACATGACATTGAGGTGGAAACTTACGACAGGGAGTGTTTCTCGTAAGAAGTGGTATACGAGTATGTCCCACACTTATGCCATGGTTGCAAACAAATCGGACACACCTCGAGAAAATGTCATATCTTTTCGGAAGAGCCCAAGGAGAAAAAGACCAATATCCAAGCCGAGAAGACCAAGCCATCTCGGGACAAGGACACCACAAAAGCACCTATGGAGACAAAGCAACCCGCTACCAAGGTGGCCGATATTGCGCCAGAAATCTCCACCAATGACCAACATACCTCAAAGAAGAACAAGGAAGTGATGGAGGAAAAGGCCCTTGAATCGGCTTCAAATTGGGAGAGTTTGCACCAAGAAAAAGCCGAAGGCAAAAAGCCCTTTTGCGTGAACGATAGTGATGATGATGAGGTTATGGAGCTCGAACATCCCGTTCAACCGAATGTAGAGGAGCAACCCTTCCAATTGGTGACCAATAAAAACAAAACCTCGAAGCATGGTGGAGGTTCAGCCTAACCGGGGCTGAAACCATTCTTGAAGATGAAAGATACAATTTTCATGAAAAGAGATTCGGAAAAAACTAGCACGTTGAAGAAGGGGGCTCCACCCCCTCCTCCAAACAGTGATCATTGCCGCTCAGAACATCAGGGGCTTCAGTGCTCCCCTAAAGCAAGATGAGGTGGTAGCCTCATCCGAAAAAATAAAATTGATGTTTTGGGACTTATCGAGACGAAAACGGATCATCCTTGTTTCTCTTGTTTTGTGCAAAACCGGTTACGGGGTTGGTTGTTTTGTGAAAATTTTGGAATTATTAGCCATAGACGTGCATAGCTATCCTATGGAACCCGGACAAAGTGGATCTATCGATGGAAGACACCCTCCCACAATCCATCTCGGTCACGCTCACAAACAAGGTTAGCAATTACAAATTTTTTGTTAGCTTTGTTTATGGTCTTCATAGTAGAGGGGATCGAAAGCAACTTTGGTGGGATCTTGAAAAATCTAAGACGAATGTTAACTTGCCTTGGCTTCTCATGGGGGATTTCAACACGGTTTTCTGGCCGGGGGACAGAATTAACGGGGATCCCGTCTCAAATCGGGACATCATATTGTGGATGCCCCTTCTACCGGTTTATTCCACACTTGAACAAATAATACTATTTGGTCTAAGCTCAATCGTGCTATGGTGGACAACCGTTAGCTACAAGAGGACCTATTTTTCCAAGCTACCTTCTTTGCCCTGGCATATCCGACCACTCTCCGTGTGTGTCTCTTTATTTGAGCACACTAGGGGGAAGGGGTCGCCTTGGCGTTTCTTCAAATATGTGGACCGAACATGATTATTACAAACCGAGGGTCCGACAAGCTTGGAACCAAAGGATTCGGGGAACGGAATAATTCAAGCTTTCCGGCCGGCTAAAATCTTTGAAAACCAAGCTATCCAAGCTTAATGCCGAGGACTTCTCTCAAATCTCCGTTCGAGCCAACAATGCAAAGCTCGCTCTCAAGTTAGCCCAAGAAAAGCTCCATGACAACCCCGACGACTTAGAGGTAAAGGCTTCGCTTCCTTCTCTACGGCTTAAATGTATCAATCTTGCCAAGGCGGAGAAGCACATTTTCCAACAAAAAAGCGAAGTGTCAATTCCAAATCAAGGGTGACAAATGCACCGAGTTCTAGCATGCCCTTGTCAAATGAAATTCCAAGAAAAATTTTATAGCCTCCATAATGAGAGAAGATGGGAGTATGACAGCATTGCATGACGAGGTGTCTAAGGTGTTTGTTAACCACTTTGAAAAGCTCCTTGGAACCGAGACTCCGATCGTGGACATTGATCCCAAGATTGTCCGAAATGGTCCACTTGTATCCCAAGAGCACCATCATGCTCACCTTGCCCCGGTCTCCGTATCCGAAATCAAAGACGCTCTTGAAAATACCACTTACAAAATTTGCTCGAAAATCATTGCCCAACGCTTGAGTCCCGTCCTCGGCACAATCATTGATGGAGCCCAAGCCGCCTTTGTAAGTGGTAGGAACATGTCGGACAACATTCATCTCATACAACAATTACTCCGACAATATATGCGTAAGCGGATCTCCCCGAGGTGCACAATTAAGATTGACCTTCGCAAGGCCTTTAACTCTATCTCTTGGACCTTCTTGAGACAAGTTCTTCATGGACTTGATTTTTCGGAGACACTTATCGGTTGGATCATGGAGTACGTCACCACGATTTCATACTCCATCTCAATCAACGGCTCGCTTTGTGGCCATTTCAAAGGAGCTAAGGGGTTGAGATAAGGTGATCCGCTCTCGCCTTATCTCTTTGTCATTTGCTTAGAGTATCTCTTGAGGCTCATGAACCGGAGCACGGCTAGCGGATAGGATTTCAACTCTCACCCCAAATGTGAGTTTCTTAGAATCACCCACCTAGCCTTTGCGGATGACCTAATGCTTCTCTCGCGGGGGGACCCTCAATCTATCCAAATCCTAATGGAATGCTTGAAAGACTTTGGGGATAAATCGAGCTTGGAAATGAATGTTCAAAAGTCCAACATCTACATGGCGGGGGTCGACCACTTGGAGCATTTGGAGATTCTTCGCGACACTAACCTCCGTCCGAGGTCTATGCCTTTCCGGTAGCTCGGTATCTCTCTCACGGTGGAAAAAGTCACGGTTGGACAATTTGATGCGCTCATTAATCAAATTTTGGAGTATATTAATGGGTAGAATGTTTCTTCTCTCTCATATGCGGGGCGTGTGGAGCTCATTAGATCGGTCCTCCAAGGGGTTGAATGCTTTTGGATGTCTATCTTCTCTCTTCCATCGACCGTCCGTACACTCATCATCCAACATTGCCGACATTTCCTATGAGGCTCAAAGATGGCGCCGGTGGCTTGACATAAAGTCACTCTTCCACGTTCGGAGGGAGGCCTAGGCCTTCGGGACCTAAAAGCATGGAATCAAACCTTGTTGGCTCGAACACTTTGGAATGTACAAGCTAAGAAAGACACCTTGTGTTATCGTTGGGTTCATCATGTCTATCTTTGGCAAAAGTCCGTTAGTGAATGGACTATCCACAAGAATGATTCGCCCCTTTTCAAAAATCTCTATGATATTCAGAATCTAATGGTTGAAAAGTTGGGTAGTATGCAAGCCGCCGAGGCCACTCTAAGTCTTTGGGAATCCAAATCCCAATCCAAGGGGCCCTCATGCGTCTATGAGTTCTTCCGAGCTCAAGGTACACCCGTCCCTTGGGAGGGAGTCGTTTGGGGGCCCGTCAACACCCCCAAACACACCTTCATCCTTTGGCTAGCAACGCTCGGGAGGCTCCGTACCAAGGATAGGCTCGACTTCCTTGAACTCGACCCTACTTGTGTCTTTTGTGGGGAAGCTTCCGAGACCATTGGTCATCTCTTTTTTCACTTGCCCCGGCAACTCTCCACACTTAAGAGTGCATTGAAGTGGATTAAGACGGATGCCCAAGGCTCCGGTTGGAGAACAAAAGCAAAGAAGGCCAGACTCGCGTCAACGGTATACTTTCTTTGAAATACTCGAAATAGGAAGATATTCGAAAATGAAATCCATTCACAGGAGCTCATCATACAGAAAATCCAAACTCATGTCTACCGGAATATCTTTGTTTTGTACCCGAATGTCCTTGCCGAAGTGGAGAGAAATGCCCTCGAAAATGGCTAAGCTAAACCTCCTTGAGGTATGTAAGATTCAAACTCGTATTTCTCATACTATATTCACGGTGTTTTCGAATGTACTTGCCGAGTTTGAGAGGAAAGTCGTTTTGATCAATGGTCACGATTTGGTTTGAGCTGAGCAACCGACCTATGGTTTGCCTCTAATTATTTTGATTAGTGAGTAAGGAACCGAGCTTGTGGTTGCCCACTTGGCTTTTTGTTTGCCGTTCGACGACTGTTGTAATGCCATTTTTTTTCTATATATTTACCAAGTACCGATAAAAAAAATATAATTTGAATCTATGTAGATTGAATTGACATCTAAAGAAGAAATGCTACTTCTTAATGAGAATTTGGTGCACTCGGCATATGGTCTGGCATGCGAGTTACTCATTAATGTATGCATTTTTTTCTTTTTTAATAAAAAGGGTTTAATATTAACTTGTGATAAGAAAAACATGCATACAAAAAAATCTAAAATAAATTAATAAATATAATCATTTATATAATTTTATTTTATCCATTTAAATAATATATTTTAAATACAACCGTCCATTTACACGTTCTGGCGCATTTACATGTCCTGCAATACTAATTCATATAAGCAAAATTTTTAGTTTGTTTAGGATACTTAGCTCATCTTCATTTTTTTTTTCTTAAGAAAAGTTATTTTGTGTTATTTCGAATTTACACATTTCATGTNACTTAGAATTGAAGAGAAGTAGGGGACATGATTACCTGTACAGGATCCACAGGCACAGCTGCAAAATCTCTTCATCATCTTCTTAAATCTACCCTCACTACCGTCCATCTCGGAGATAGATCAATCAACCCACCTTCAAATAGAGAGAGTTGTTGGTTTTCTTTTTCTTTTTCTTTTTTTAACACGAAAGCGTTGGGCAAGTTTTGAATGAGTGGGATTGGTATTTTTTTCTCCAATGAAAAGGGTCTGTGTGCGTGTGCGATGTAAGTTCACATTTGTTTTAGCCTATTATAGGCTCATTGTTTGAAATCTAAGTCATGACCAAGTTGTTTTCATTGAATTACGATAAGATCATTACATTAATTTGAAATCTGAATCATTATCAAGTTATTTTCATTTGATTACGACTACATGTATTTTTTTTTGTTTGAGTTTAAAATTTGGATTGAGCGTGCACTTTCACAATTTCTTTAGAGCCATTCAAAATTCTTTCTAAGTTTTGGTTTCTCTGAAAATGCTTTTACGTTTAAGGTTCAAGGCTGGTGTTAGCTGCTTTAACAATTAAACAATTATATTTTTTTTGAAAAAAAAAACGTATTTTTAAATTGAAATATCACTCTAAAATGTAACATAAAAAAAATATAATATTCTACAATATAAATATTCATTTATATTATAAAAAACATATGACAAATCAACACGAAATTATGACAGGCAAGAACAAACCCAGTTCAATCTCGTTTTTATTGATCTTCCATTTCTCATTATCAATGTATTGCATAGCCAGTTGCTCATTGCATCAAGCTATGGATTGTTACTCCATAGAAGAACAAAAGCAAGATGATCATACGTCACTTCATATTGATTATTGGAGCAGAAAAAAAATGACTTATCCATCACATTCAACAATGAAATCAATTTCCAGACATCGTTCTCTTTTCTTAAACATACCTATATTTACCGAAACTTCAGGCAGATTTCCACACTATAGCATATTGTTAAACATAAAAGACAGCAGAATAATACTCCGACATAAAATACATTGCAAGTAAATGTAACGAGCAGGCCCGAATAAACCGGGTATGAACAAAGAAAGATTACATAATTGTGTAATGTAATTTTCTGATTAGTTGACCTGACTTGGCTCCGGTTTTCGCTGGAAGAAAATAGAACCTAAGAGAACAGCAATCCCGGTTATTGCAATAGTAAATAGAAGACGCCTTTTAGAGAACTCCTGTGGCTGCCTTCTTGGAGCCCTTTCGGGTGGCCGAACGTTCCTACAAAAGATATGATGAAATATTTATTACCTATTTGATAACAATTATAATCAATGTATTCATGTAGACTCAAGTCATCAAGGAAGGAATGTGACTGAAAGTTCATAGGATTAGATACCGTGCTTAGTTTCTTAGTAATTTTGGATGACGATCGTCATTTGATCTTCTCACTTATCAACGTAAAAAGTTGCAGCCTATAGTTTCAAGTTGTCACTTTGACTTTGTTGTTCACTAATTCGGTTTTTTAGTTCCAATGATACTAGTAGGACCCACCAATACTATAACTATTTCAACATAACTTCAAAATTCACAGCTTAATATCATATATCCGAGCCTAACATTCAAAGAGGAACCGACTATATAATTATTCGAAATATATATGCATAGCTCCTGAAAATAGTGTCACAAAAATTTATGGCCTCCTCGACATTATTGAGTCGGCGGCCAAGCACTTCTCGACTCAACTCGGGATTCTATGGTTGTCATTTGTAAGGTAGGTNAAAAAAAAAAAAAGAGAGAGAGAGAGAGAAATATGTAATTTTATTGGTGATAATATGATATGGACGAACAAGAAGTATAAAACTTCTCTAGAGTTCTCCCCAGCAAGAAACTTGCCCAATAGCCTAATGCTATTACAAAATAAATCTATTCATACTTATCCTATTGACAACCATCTCTTATATACTAAACTGTAGCTATAAAATGGTAATAGGTAATAAAAGGGGTAATAAAATAATAGCATTTCAGGAATAATAAATCGGTGAAAATCTCTAAAGATTAAGCACTAATTAAGATCTCGTATATTCAGATAAAATATTCTAAATTTGATATCCTTCAATTCTCTCATCTCTATAGATCCAAGCTGAAGTAGATGCACACACAACTTAGTGGACTAGTGATTGCCATTACTTAGATCAAACAGAAAATGAGATAGAAGTAGTTTACATAAGAAGAAAGAAACACATACACACACATACTAGTAAAAGCACTTTCCTAATATTGCATAACTACTATGCCTACATCACCTGAAAGCAGTCATTCGACATTTCAGTTTCATCCACAGAAAACGAATTGGTGTGGAAAACCGCAAGTACTTTGAGTCTTTGACATATAAAACTATAAAACATCAGATAACGTATCCATGAAATTAATAGAGATTTAGACAAGTTATATGTTCGCATAAATCGCTAGTACCCTTTACATGTGGAAAAAAATTAAAATTAGCATAACATTCCATTCCATTGAGGGTGCAATAAACAATTTGCAAATAACAGTTAACAGTAAGAATACATACACAGTAAAATTTCAACATACTATCAGGCTTCCTGTTATGTAACTGTATATATAACTGGTGATGCTAACTCACCTTGAAGATTCTGCATTGATATTAACAAAACCAGTGCAGCTACTTTCATGGTTATGCCTCTCTCGCAGTCTAATATACTTATGGCACAGATGACATAGCTCCGTGCGGTTCCCACATACTTCCTGATATTATTAGTGAGATGACAATTACACTTAAACGATACAAAATTTAAAAAAAAAAAAAAAATAGATTCAATAATGAATTACCACCTGATGTTCCAATAAATCAATTGCAGGCAGTGGAAACTCGCAAAATTCGCATGTCACAATCCTTTGTGGACAGTTTTCTCCTTTGTGAAGGTCTAATATGCCACGGTCCATTGTCTCACTGCACAGAGAACAGGACACCTGCCATGTAATTGGAGACAGGAAACATAAAGATCAGAATAATCATTCACTACAGAGAATGCGTAATCTAATTTCAGTGGACCTGCTTTACCCTCTAATTAAATAACGTTTTGTCTGAATTTTCTTAATGCTTGAAGCAGTGATCAGTTTTCCTTCCTATTGAAAACCAGTCTCATAATTATCACAACAATGGTTTCTTTTTACAAACTAGTATATATGCAATACCTCATGAATCTATTTTCAGTTAATAGCAGATTCCAATGCATAAGAGAAAAATCGAAAAGTCAAGCGGACAAAAGGCACATAAAATTGTAAAGACGCCTAAGTTGATGGTGAGTTTGAGCTTCATGTGGATATATGCTATATGCAGAAAATCAAGTCGATGTGACATTTAGCTATTTGGCCTCCTCTGCAAGGATAGAAAAACAAAGCCAGATTCCGCTATCTACCCGAAGAAAGACACCACATATCTCAAGAAAAGATGGATGTTGGGTAAAGAAAAAGTAATCCACCTACAACAATGGTTTTTAAAAGATGTATTTACTTTTCACAACAATGGTTTTTAAAAGATGTATTTACTTTTCACTTAGCATTTCCACAATGATAGGCAACAGCTGTCATGCCACTCTAAGTTCTTAGACAACATGGTCAATGATGTTAATCCACTAGCGTAGGATTCGGGCACCACTCAATAGAAGTTTCCAAAGTTTCTCGAAGACTTTGTAAAATAGTTCTTGGAAGTTTTTTCAGTGCATCTTAAATAAGAATTATTTTCATAGCTTTTACGCTGTTTATTCTGGTTGTCCCAGTAGCTCTGTTGTGCAAATTCATGTTACACCAAACTAGTTTAACTCAAGAACAAAAAACATATGGCCATGAAACCCCATCTGCAATAACCAAATTATTCCACGAGAGATTTAGAGATAACCAATCTTCTTTCTCAGCACAGTTAAAATGGAAAGGCCAACTGAAAACAACGGCAGAGATAGTTGAAAGAACACTGAATGATCACAACATACCATGTTTACAGAAGAACAATTGAATTTTGCATTTCATGTGAAAGTGAAACTGTGTTGGTTGTCTCATTGAACAACCATGTTGGAAGTCCTGTGATCGTAAAGTAAGTGGAGTCTTGGCAGGAAAACAAACAGAGAAATTGGAGTTATACGAGGTGAGGCAAAAGATCAAGACAGGACAAAGGAACCGTCATGGCAGAGGAAGAGTTTTCTCATCCAATCATTCGTCTCTAGCAGAGATCTTTAGAATTACTTTGATGTAGTCCTATTTTAGACGTGGTTTAGCTTTTCTCAATTTTTTTTTTGTTTTCTTGATTATTGTTTTGAGTTTCCTTATTAAAGAGAAAAGCTTGTTATTTCACTCGACAATCAGTTTAATAAAACTATGATGACTTATGTCTTAAAAACCAATACGTGCTTGTGTCCTCTAAAGATAATTCCTATTGTAACAAATTTGACTTATCAAGCCAAACAGATAAATTCGCTTGTTCCGTCTTCTCTTTACTGGTTTCTTGCTTTTCTATGCATCATATTTAATTTTTAGTTGCTACCAATCTTAACCAATACCAAACAATTAAAATGGGAGTACAACGTATTAAGGTATGGGTGTATGCACAATTTCTGTTGGGGTTCACGTCAATTGGAACCAAAGAAACTGATAATCAAGTCATTGAATAGGCGACCACATCATGAAACTTAGCTGAAAGTTTCATTTTGCTACATAACTAGCAATTAAATGAAAGATGGAGCACATTTCACGTCAGGTTCAAATAAATTAGAAAAAAACTTATAAAGGTTGAATTCATAATAAACCAAGATATACATCAAGAAGAACTAGGTTATAAATGATCATTTGGAGAAGGAACTGAGATTCAAGACTCCAAACAGCTGAAAACACATATGTGGAACTTGATGGATATTGTTATTATGTCTAACCTTAGTGGGGCCACATGCCCTCAGAAAGGCAAGCCTATACACCTCCTACAGAGCAGCTTCCCAAAAAAAAGAGGCAAATAGATTGAGCCTCCCATGCTCAAACATGGCAACTACAGTTTACAAAGGATGACACATACGTTGGACATGATACTAATTACAGAAGAAAGATAAACGCAAAACCCAAATTTTATTGGAATTAGTATAGAAGAAGAATATCTAAAATGATCTATAATATTTCTCCTACAGAGAAGTTACATCATGCATTAAGAGCCATAAATCCTTGATGCCTTAGAAAAAAGTACTATCCAGGAAAACACAATTTTACTTTTCATCCATAACCGAGCCAAATAAGAATTTCACTATGCTTGTGCAAGAAACTATCAGCTATACGATAAATGTTAGATTTATATATGGGGGGAACCGCAGCTTAAAAGGCAAGCCCAGTTGCCACCTTAATGAGGTTCCATCCCAAAACCAATTGGTAATCGGAGGAGTAGCCCACTAGGTTTTATAACTACGATCATTTTACCTATATAATCAATGTGGGACAACTCACAAGTGATATTTCAACACGCCCCCTCACTTGACCAGACTCGGTTAATATAGAGAGTCGTTACATGTCCTAGTTCTGGTCTACTCTAATACCACGTTAGATTTTATATATTGGGGGAAGGGGTGCAGTCCCATAGGGGTGAACCGCACCTTAAGAGGGCAAGCACAGTTGATAACTTAGTGAAATTCCATTACAAAAGACTTGCCCACCAAGCTTATAAACTAGACTCATTTTTTCCATTAGGGACAATTCACAAGTGATATTCCAACAACATAGATGGATCAAACAACTTAGATACCTTCCTGGTAGGAACTCATCCACAAAAATGAATGTTCATGCTTTTGATGTAACAACTGATTCAAGCAAATAATTTCGTTGTGTTTTAACAGCTCAAAGAGACTTGTATACCGGAGCATGAGTGCTTAAGAAATGTTCCTCGGCAGATTTTTTTGGAATCATATCACCACATACTTTACATTTTTCCAGATTCCGGGAGCAGTGAGCAGTATGCAAGTCAAAATTGGAAGAAGGAATTGCTCTGTCACTGCAAATGAAATTATAAACAAGGTGAAACCCCACAAAAGTTGTACAAACAAACATTCTAAAGCACGTCAGCCAAAATAGTTCGACTACTGTACCGACGGGTGAACAAGCAAGTTCATCACAAATTAAGATTTGGGCTCATTTCAGAATACAGACGTAAAATGCAACACTATTAAACACCAAAATTAGATTTTGAATTGCTCTACTCAAAAATCAAATTGTGAGAACTCAACAGTAACTTTCAATATTCAAGGTTTCTCATTTGCATTTAATTTTGTTGAGTGTAGCCTATTTTACAACCCATTCATTTGATAAAACTGGCACCTTGAGTATTTCTTTATGATTTATGAATGGACAGAACACGATCAAATCTATATAAAAATATGAAAATGTGCTGAGTTTAACATCAAGAATTTCCTGCAGAGGTAGAATTAAGCATAAGTACTAATCAGTAAACATACAAACTAGTTAAGCAGCTAAAGTTGCCTTTGAAAGACTCTCCAGACTATATACATCTATTTAATAAGATTGCCAGCTGAGGCATTCCTAATTAATAGGCGGAAAATGATCACATAGCCATTTGGAAAGGTAATGAGAAGTAGAACTTCAAGACTTTCTTGTGGTGCTTGAATCATACTTATCCAGGAAATGTACCAAGTATGCTAAAGCAGCCAAGGGATCCACTTACACAGCTTATTCTAAAGATTACCAGTTACTTCAAAATTAAAATAAAATTGTTCAGCAAACAGATTTTAAGAAATATAGAATCAATGTATTACTCTAATGTACAGAGCTACATACCTCCAAACTATAAAGCAAAGACATGAAAAAGAACCAAGTATAGAGGCAAGTATCTTCTTTCTATCACATATTTTGCGTGCAACTGCTGCAGAGTTATATGACACATTCTGAATAAAAAATTTCGACTATAAATTCTGTGTTTTATGCACATGAAATATTTCAGGAATTGATTTTATTTCAAAGATGACCAATAGCAGTTATAATGGAGGATACTTCCCTTATACCCTCAAAAGTCCATTAGGAACTTAAAATCAGAAAATGTACAAATAAAAAAATATGTTGCTGATTTTGCATAAACCAGAAATTGATCAACAAACCAATTTGCCATATGCACAAATCAATCTCGTAACTTTCATAATTTTTAATTTTCTGAATCCTAAGCTTCAAGAAGCGTTTTTAAAAGCAAGAACTTATTCATAAAAGAATCAAGCAATTCAATGCAAACGATCAGATGCTGCACTGATAATTTCCGTAAGCTTTCAATCA